TTAAAAAAAAAAAATTCTCCAAGGTTTTCCGTTAACAGTAATATCCCCTCTCATGAGTTTTAGGAAATTTGAAGATTTTATTCCAGAAGAGATCTATCTTCCTGACGCCTTCAGTTCCCAAGTCGGCATCTACGCAGACGACACTGCCATTTACTCTTGCCTCAATAGTAAATCCGGCTTTGTTGATAAAGTTAACTTGGTCGTTGGTCTCGAAAATGGCAACCGGTTGTGATTGACTTGGACGGGAAATGGCTTGTGTATTTTAATGCATCCAAAACGAAACATTCTGTCGTTTACTTACCATAGAGAGAAGTTCCCGCCTCATATAAGTATGGTTGACGTTCAACTCAGAGGGAGCGCCTCTTGGTCACACGTTCTCCACTGATCTGACTTGGAACAACTACATTGAAACAATGGCTGCATCTACCGCAAGAAAAATTGGTTATCTGTGCTGAACCTGAATGTTCATCCTTGCCTTTGTCAATCATTCACATTTACAAATCTACCATTCATTCATGCATGTAATAGTGCTGCTATATATGGTCTGGAACTCCTACTGTTCATCTCGAAGTTCTCAATAAAAATCCAAAGATCAATATGCAATGAGATCGGTCTTGACTTGGGCATCGTCTCCAGTCACATTCTCACCGACGTAATGTGTCTTCCTTTTCTATAAATATTTTCATGGCATCTGCTCTGACGAGCTATTTTCACGTGTGCTATGACTGCATGAATTTAAACGTAATACTAGATTGGTATTTCGGCCCTACACTTTCATTCTAGAAAAAAATTGAATGCAACCATCTCATCTACTCCAACAGCTTCTTCTCTCGCACTTCTCGATAGTGGAACTCCTTTCCACTTACTTGCATTCCTGATGACTATAATCTTCAAAAATTTATATATAATGTCAATTGAAAAATTCTGTTGTCTTGATCCCCGTTTTTTTTTTTTTATCCATCACCGTTCTTTGTTTTATCCGTTCTTTAACCTCCTTATTCCCAGTCTTTTCCTTTACTTATACTTTCTCTAGCACCTTGCGTACTCGTGGCACTTCCGCCATGCTTGTAGTGAATTGCTGAAAAAAGGACAGTGTGGTGTTCTCATAGCTACTCCGTGTGTAATGAATACAGAATATAATTATATCCTGAAAAAATATTAGGTAGAAATATTTTGTGTAAGGTATTGTAGTGTGCTTCTTACACAAACACTCCCCGGAATCAAGCACCCAACACAAAATATTCAACAAAACCACAGTAAAAATCAGCTACAGTTTCAGCGAGAACATAGCACAAATAATGAAAAAGCACAACAGGAAAACTATCATCAAACCACACGAACAAATTAAACCCACGTGTAACTGCAGAATGAAGCACGAAAGTCACTTAAACGGTAATTGCTTACAAAACAGCGTAATATACCAAGCCACAATAAAATCACCAGATAATGAAGAAAAAGTATATATAGTTGTAACGGAAACAAAGAAATTATGCACACAAAACATGTTTCACAAATAGTAAATACGCGAACAGATAATGCTTTCTAAATATATCTTTGTAATTAAAAACAAAACGCACATCACACCAAAAATATCTTGGAAAAATAATGAAAAGATCATCAGCCTACAACCAATCCAAAATTTATAAACTTTGCTTGGAGGAAAAAAATAGCTCTCATTACCTTCCCAGAACAAAATAAATTATTAAATAAACGATCCGAGTACATTTCAAATGCAGACATAAAAATAACTTTTTGGTACACTATTTAAATATCGAAAACAAAAACAAAAGAAAATAAAAGAAAATAAATAAATAAACAAAATGACAATAAAATAAGTATAATTAATTAACCGCAAAAAATTACCAAAACACAGCTGTTAGACAAGACAAAATGGAATAAATAAATAAAAAATAAAATCAAAATCAATGAACCCAGATAAATAAATTAAATAATAAATAAATTAAGAAACCATTATGACCAAAAGACTATAAAAATCAAGCCAAAAATCGAACGAAAAACATAGTTATAATTGTTATATAACGATAGAAAATACTACGTTACTTAAAAATCGAAAACTGAAAAGAGTAAATGAAAATATACAATAAAATGCATAAAAAAATAAAGAACACCTAAAATAAATTAACTAAATTAATCCAAATAAATAAAGAAACTAACATAGAAAATACTCGTTCTTTGAAAATTTCTCGGACATTCAGGCCGGTAAATGTTATTTAATACTGTTTCTTATAAACAGAGCATTTACTAAAATACTTGTATCTATAAAAAGAATGTTAAACATAAAAATGTCTTTAATAAATTGTCGGACTTTGTCCATTTCTTAATACATATATATATATATATATATATATATATATATATATATATATAAAGAAAGAAAGAACAATAAGATATATAATCCGGTGTTCTTATAGATATTTTATTTTTACAAAATAGTGCTCAACGTAAATTTACAGAGCATTAATATTATAAATTAATCGAT